CCCTCTACAGAAGCAGCTAACAAGCAGGAAGTGGTACCTCCTGTTCAGCCGCCGCTTGTTACCGAAACCGCGACCTCTGTCTCCTGTCTCTCACCGGAGCAGCCAGCCGACCTCGCCGTTACTCCCTCTGTTGTATCAACACAGCCTCTACCCGAAATTGATGCTACGCAACCGAACCCTGTAGCACAGCAGCCCTCGCAGTCGACCCTCCAAAAGGTGAGTTTTATGTTGGTCTTTTAAACGGAGTGTTCCTCTCTCAGTAGACATTTTTATTGCCAAGTTTGAATCACGATTTTCTGAATTATATCGTGATTGCTAATTTCGGTTCGACGAACGTGCATTTTCGATTTTTCATCTTCAGGCCTGTACGGTAAACGAGGGCAGAGCAGCGAACAACAGATGCCAATAAATAGCAAGGCATCTTTGGGTTTTGTGGAACTGGGTACGACAAACCGGAGTAAAAGCTTTTCAAAAGTGATGCATCCCACTTGAGTATTTAGAAGGACTGGAAGCCAATTAGATTTTTACCTAATAAACATCGACCGAATTATTAGCATCGTTAGATTATTAGGTAAGGTGCTTTTCCGGAAATATAATGTTGGCTACATAAGCGAAAACGTACGTTCGTTGAACTGGAATTCTTAAATTCTTACCTGCGTATCACCAGGTAATTGATATCTATCTATCACTACTACCACAGCGAAGCCCCGTGTCAAAAGCTGCTTTCACCTAATTTTACTCGCCACCTTAAACCAACCGCATTCAGGACAAAAAAACGTCTCTATGATGCCATATTTCTTGTTCAAATTAAATTATGTTTTCAGAAAATCGCACAAAAAATACTTTCTTTAATATACTATTTTTATGGCAGGTAAGGTTTTCCGGAGAATTTATCAATGAAGCAAGAGGCTTCCTCGCTTTAGCAGAGTTTTCTATAGCTCTGTTTGAAGTTATGGTGTTATGTCTACAAGTTTATTAATGCTGCTGAGAAGCTGTTAGACGTAGTTTCGAAACGTCTTCAATACATGTGTGGACTGCGGACCGTCAAACGCTTTTATTGCGGAAAATGAATATGAAAAGCTAAATTTTTGCATATATTTTCGTGAAAATGTGCCCCCATTTGATTCAAGCATCGAGAGTTAATCGGAAGGATGCGTAGTACCTAAACAGTATTTCGTTTCTGAATTTGATTTAAGCGAGCAACTGAAGAGGTATTCAGCACGCTGCCATGTATTCAGTTGTCATGCGATTGCATGCGATGTTCTGCTAGTAAATAAGTGGGCTTCCATCGACTGCGAAAGGGCTTCCGACAGCATTCCTCACCGACGGTTCGACCACCAAATCCGACGCTGTCTTCTGCATACTTCAGTAGGCTGAAGACAAACACAGTGACTTGCGCGGGTGTTAGTTATAGGTAATAGTAGACTTGCGCTGCAGCTACCGCACTCTCTCTTCCCTCAACTACCTGTTCCCGGTGTCAAGACAGACTGACGAAGAGACCGGAGGCGGGATCGGGCGCATATGTCCCCCACTAATGTCTTCTACATAAACTGCACAGCGTAGTTCGTGGAAACCTCCTTGCATGAATCTAGAACTTTTTGACTGAGGGTTCCCAAAGTATACAAGCCAAGAACTCTAGCGGTCCTTAGAGGTAACCGTCGTGGGTGGTCTCTACTTATACTTGCTACAACTGTAGTCATGCCTGATATAGTCGGCCTCGATGATATCACGGATAGTACCTCTCCACGCGTGACGATTAGCACCAGCAGATCTGGAGGGTTCCACCTATTATTTTCTCCACCGACGGTGATCGAAAACCGAAGGTTCAAGAAATGCTTCCATGTCTTGACGAACGGTGTCGGGCCATGTCTTGAGTTGCCCTCCTCTTTGACGCCTCCAGGTGGTCTGCAGCGACAAATCGAGCGCAGCGTAGCAAAGCTCGTGAGGCGGACGACGGAGAGCGTTCCCAAACCATCTCAGTAGTCTTTCTCGGATGGCCTGACGTATCCCCTCCCTCTCTCTCGTGGTCCACAACACGGTAGACGAAGACCATTTGCAATCAAACCTTGCATTCTGAATATCCGCGTTTTGATGCCCTCTTCTGTC